TGTTGCTTTCTTATTTTTGTTTTTTTTCAATGGGCTATCTTTGTGGGTGGTAGGTGGTATCTCATAGTTGTTTTAATGTACAATTCCTGGATGGCTAGTGAGCTGGAACATTTTTTCATATGTGTATTGGCTATTCGGGTTTCCTCCTTTGTGAATCTTCTGTTCAAGTCTTTTGTCCACCTCCTCAGTGGGCTATTCGTTTGTTGTTGTTGTTGTTGTTTTTGTGGGCTTGGAGGATGAGGATTCTGTAGATTTTAGTAATGAGCCCTGCATCTAATATGTCATTACTAAATATCTTCTCCCAGTTTGTGGGCTCTCTTATTATTCTTTTTCTGAAATCTTTTGATGTACACAAGTGTTTTATGTTTAGTATGTCCACCCACCTATTTTCTCTTCCTCTGAGAGTGTGTCCTTCCTTAATTCTAATAGCCCATGTATTCCCTGCACTAAGGTTCTTAGCTTTGTCCCAATTTTTTCATGGATGATCCTGAGAATTTGGGGCTTTACCTCGAGGTCTGTGATCCAACTTGAATTTGTTCTTGTGTGTGGAGTGAGGTAAGGATCTTGCTTCATTCTTCTGCAGGTTGATATCTAGTTTTGCCAGCACCATTTGTTGAATCAGAGCCTTCACTTCCCATTTGATATTTTTTGGGCCCTTATCAAAGATCAGTTGTCTGTATGCCACTGTTTTTATTTCTGGGTTTTCTGTTCTTATCCATTTGTCTGAGTATGTCTCACAATACCAGTACCACATGCATGATGTTTTTGATGTCATCCCACAACTCATCACATCTTCTGTCATCAGCGTTCACTGCATCAAGTCTATTCTTGAGATGGTCTCTAAATTCAGGTGGGATGTTCTCCAGGTCTTCCTTTGGTTCTTGTGTACTTGTTTTGATTTTCTTCGGCTTCAACTTGAACTTGATTATGAGTAATTGATGGTCTGTTCTGGAGTTGACCTTTGACCTTGTTTTGGCTGATACGGTCAAGCTTCTTTGTTGTCTCTTTCTACATTTGTAGTTGATTTGGTTCTTGTGCATTTCATCTGGCAAGGTCCACATGTCTAGTCACCATTTATGCGATTGAAAGGATATTTGCAATGAATAAGTCATTAGTCTTATAAAATTCTATCAAGTAATTTTCAGTGTCATATCTATCACCAAGGCCATATGTGCCAGTTACCGATCCTTCCTTTTTGTTTCTAATTTTCACATTCCAATCACCAGTAATTATCAGTGCATCTTGATTGCGTTTGATCAATTTCAAACTACCAAAAACGTCAATTTATTCATCTTTGGTATTAATATTTGGTAGATAAATATGAATAACAGTCACATAAACTGATATTCCTTGTAGGTATACTGATATTAATGTGTCACTGAAGGGGTTGTATTTTTCACAATGTTCTGCCTGATGATTGAAAGGGATGCCATTCCTCTTCAATTTTTAATTCCAAATGTAGTAGATCATATCATTGTCTGATCAAAATGGCCAGTAGCATCCATTTCAGTGATCTTCATGTGCACCATTTCATTTTGACAACTT